ATTAATGTTCTTTTATTTAAAATCTCTCTAAAGGCATTCTATTTTATTTCTGTCCTAAAAAATGATACACTAACTGAACTATATGGCAGGTAAGTTATGTGATGCAGAAACATAATGTCTGTAGGTGTGGATGCATGTGTATATCCATGTGTAAACATAAAACCAAAAACCACAACTGCTGTGAAGTTGAGCAGGGATATTTAAAATACAGCTGAACAGCAAAGATTGAAGCCCACTTTAAAAAATGAGTTAGAAACAGGTATGTTTGAAGCCTCTACCTTCAGATGTGCAAGGCCATAGCAGGGGTAATGAAGCTAAATACAAGACTGGACAAAAATCTGATTCCTTCCATCCTTCCTTCCTCTCTTTCTCTCTCTCTCTTTCTTCTTTCTTTCTTTCCGAAGTGAATCCAGAAAACTCTAAATGCTTTACCTCTTTGTCTCAAGTGCTAGACTGCATGTGACTAATAGAAACAGTTAAAGATTCCCAAGCAGATGCTCAGGTTTGTTATTGACTGGGGCTGCAAAGAGATCTGAACCATCTCCATAGTTGCTGTTATTCCCAGTTTGAACCTGACAGTCAGATCTGAATTTGAAACTGCAAAGCTGAATATGATTGAACGAACTATAGGCAGTATTTTCATGGCTGTTAAGTACCTAATGAATTTATTTTAAGTGTGTTGAAGTTGGAGAAGGCTTTTGATCTGTAATGTAATTTATAATGCATTATTTAAACTCCTATTGTTACCTGGTTTTGTCTGGATCTTGTGCTTACTTTATAGCCACTCTCATGTTTCTGAACAAGACTTGGTTGCTTGTATGTATTTTTCTCCACTAAATATTTCAGCTTATCAAAGCAATTCATGTTTGTAAACAACCAAACACAGAAGTCTGCACAAAGACTCAACTACAGAAAAGTAAAGGGGCTACTACCACCATCATTATTAAGGACAAATGGAGGACAAAGTAAGATGTTACATGTTTTAAGTCCAAACTGATTTCTACAAGGGAAAATATATTATCTCTAGCTCTAAAGTGGGAATTTCTAGTTACAGATGTAAAAGCAACCTGACTTTAAAACACGACTTTAAAAACAACAAGGTCATTTGTTAGTGTGAGCATATTCAGATTCAGAAAGATGTCTGAATTGCTACTTACACTGTATGCAGTAATAAAGATGATTTTGAAACACTATTTAACTGATATACCGATGCAAAACTCTGGCTGAATATCATAAAACCCTATTTTGTCTTTTGCAATACAACCCATTGTGGCACTTTACCATAAATCCCAGCCCAGCCTTCCTCTCAGGCTCCACTGACCTGGGCTGATGTTAGGTTGGGCCATTACTGGAGATACTGTAATAGAAGTTTCCAGGCAGGGAAGGAAAAGACAAAAACATGAAGGAAATGTCAGTTTAACAGGAACAATATTTCAGCTTTTTTTGTAACATTGAAGGGGGCAGAAACTTTGTCAGAAACTACTTAGTACTTACTGTTATCCCAGGTGTATATATATACATTATTTCTGGGAGCTTAAGTTGAATATATATATATATAAACTCTTTGTGCAGCTTATCTAGTTATATTTACTGCCCATATATGATAAACAAGAAGCAACCAGGTGACGTGACATCTCTGAAAGACTTAATAATGTGTATCTTCTGCTTCCTCAAAATTGCAGCATACAGAAATTGCAGCAGAATGGTACAGTGCTGTACCTGAAACAAATTACATATTATTTTCTTCCTTAAAAGCAGAGTATAAGCCCATAGATTTTCTACCAATCAGCTCATAGTCCCTGTGTTGACCGTAGTAAGCTGAAAGGTATTTCTAGCTGCCTATCTCCTCTTCTCCAGCTACAGCTGTGCAGCAGTGCCTTGAAAATAAGGCTCAGACTTGATTTTCTCAATTCCTTTATGGGAGCCAGCTTCCCGTAGGAAGAAAAGCAGGGATAAGAAATTAAAGGTGAGAATATTGTGAACACTACCAGACAAGGATGAAGGTCGTTTCTTTGCTTCTGAAGGAAAAAGAGCCAGCCTTCACTACTATCCCTAGGTTAATTTCACTGAAAACGTGAACTTTTCTACCTAATAAAACTCCGTGTTTCTACTGTAACGTAGTCACTGTAGAAATTAGTTTGGTCCACTACAGTCTGCTCCAGCATGTTGTTCTCTACATATCCCGTGTAATAGATATATTTCTCTTCCTTACTGTTGGCATAGGTAGCAAAGGCGCAGAACTGTGCAGAAAGGAGCTTCCGAGCAGAGAAAATAGTAAGTACTGGACTGTTCCACCCCTTCGAGAAAGTTTGAAATAAAACTAGGCAGAGCCATTTATTCAAAGCACAGTTCTGCTTTTGCTCATTTACCCTTTACTGCCTGCCCTCGTTACCTCGCAGGTCCATCTCTTCTCCCTGCTCTCCTACTCAAGTTACTGCAAGCGTCGCACTCAACAGAAGTTGGCTACTAGGTAATTTTAAGCTTAACTGAGCTTCTCAGTTGTGTCTTCAAAACTAAAATAGCTTATAACATCATTCTGAAGGCGTTTAAAGCCCTTGTCATTAAAATAAACAAAAACTTCAAATCTGTAAGAAAAATTTCCTAAATCCCATCCCTGCAAGCTTCACTTTGTTCCTTGAAAGAAATTACAGTTCTTGTTCACTAATCTTTCTCCAGATTCTCTGGTATAATCTACCAGTAGCCAAGCTTAAAGTGACAGTGGGGCCGAGTATTCTGATTTCAGTGATGAGACTGAAGAGCAGTAAAGAGCAGTAGACAGCTATTTTACGTGAGAGGTTTTTCTAGATATTTCTGTAGCAATAACTTTGGAAGTACAGAGAGAGTACATAATTTTGCCAGATGGCATCAGTTCAGCCTCTTATATTTTTCTTTGTCAGGTAATCACTTTATAACATAAGAATCTGAAGGAACGAGGGGAAAAAGGGAACCATTATATTGCTGAGTAATGAATTTTAAATACTTCAGATTAAAATATCAAATACATGCTTATCTCAGGAACATAAAGTATTAAGTTTTAAACTTGATTCCAAATGGGCATTCAAAACTATTTGAAAGTAACCTTTGACTGTATGCACAAAACAAAAAAATATATTTCTCTGATACTGCAGTGAGGATTGTGACTTCTACCAATAAGAGTCTTGAGGATACTGTTGAAAGGTTCCATCCAACAAATCTAAACCTGAAACACTGATAGAAGAACAAGTACAGACTCCTTAGTACCAACCCTTTAACAGATACTTGCTTATTCTAGTGGGTGTCCTTGAAAGGCTTTGTACCTGTTCATAAGAGTATTCAGAATCACAGACTAATTAGTACTGTATTTTTTTTAAATCTATCATCAATCTACACATATAAGCACTGACAAATGGAAATTAAGCATGTGCTATGAAAGCAGTATGTAGCTCAAAGCAGATTAGAACATGCCCTTACCCACCTCCAGATTAAAATCCATTTAGAAAAAGCATGAATAAAGGTTGACATGATAAAGACATTTTAAAGTATGTCTGATTAGCTAAATTCAGCATTAACTTATACTTGCTGAAAAGTCCAATATCAGCTATTTAAGGTTTTCTTTATCTAAATAGAAGGGATTCATTATGGCATTTTAAATAGCACTATGGAATAATTGACAAAACTGTTGCCATTTTCCTGGCTACTGTTACACACTTAGCTGAAAAAATATTAATCTAAACATAAATAAATACTCTCCTTAAGTAGCTTAATGTGTAGTTTCTTGTGGTTTTCTTTTAAAGAAAACCATCATCATCATCAGAACCACGCTGAAAGTGCTACAAAATGTCTCACAGGTTATGTAAAGAGCTCAAAGAATAAATGTTTTTAAAAACACATCATCTGGTAAAAACCTCCTTCACCACACACAACCCAGACAGCATTCCTTGCCTCCTCCCTCTCCCCATCAAAAAGGAAAAAAAAAAAAAAAAAAGGTAGACACTAAACATCTCCAGGTGCTGATAAACCAATTTCCTTATTTTCTTTGCATCATTGGAATAGCTTCATCGTGCGTTCCTTTTCCAGCCACTCAGCCTTACTCTTTCTTTTTGACTCTTTCTATTGTGTTTGAGCAGCAAGACCATTTCTATAGATACGCATACAGAGAGGAACACTGCTTCATCTGTTCAACTAACTGCAAAACCCAACTTTTTCAAACCTTTGAACAATTGGTAGCAACTCTTCTCCGTACTTTCTATGTACAAATTCTAATTTGCATCATTTCGCGTCTATTGAAAATCTAGTATAAGGCTGTGAGACAACATGAAAGTGCCTTGATGATCTTTTTGACTGCAAAGGGCTGGAAACAACATCTCAGTGCAAACCATTTTAAAGATGCAAAAAGAAGCTGAACACCTGTTCCAGAAAGCAGGAAGCAGAATCTAGTCCAATTTATGGTGATGAAGCTTGGTGCATCGGAAGGTTAAATACCTTTGGAAGATATCTGGCACTCAGCCTCTATTATCAGGTTAGGCCAGATGTGTTTCTAGAGGATGTATGTCTGTAAAAATGCTGAAATTTCACCTTCCATTTTCCTTGATGCAACTACTTTATAGCAAATAGCAATTTTTTTACAGAAAAAAATGAATTAAATGAAACCATCTAATAAAATCCATATAAAATTAAATCTGAATGTGAATAAGAAACTTTTTACGCTAGGATGGTGATTGTAGGAGTTAAACCTGAATCAGAAGGAGGAACACATGACTTATGCACCCATTCCCACCCCTCTTATAAATTTCAGATTTTGCTATAAATGACTTAAATTTACACAAAAAACTATTTTAAATGTTCAAGACACTCAATAGTAATTTCTACTTAAGCGTGAAACACTTCAAGGAAGGGAATACCAGGAGGAGAAGTAAAAGGAACACACACAGAAAACATTTCTCTTTGGCACAACAGTCTCACTCTTAAGAGCCTCGTTTCATATCTGGTTAACTAAAATGCAGTATATTAAAATATAGTACCTTATAACACATGCATAAAGCCCGCTGTCTTGTACCACTGTCGGTCGGAACCAAATGGAGTCTTCTTCCTTGCTCATTCTAGTTCCATCAAAAGCTATAGGTTCCTCAAAATCTCCGGGTCCAGAGCTTTTGTACCACATCAAACTAAGTCCAGCACTTTGGGCCAGGGAGTAATTAGCTCTAATATATCCATAAAAGAGTGCACATTTTATACGAACAGGTTCTCCCACTAGAACTTGATATTTCTTGTAATCCACAGACCAGTCAGTGCATCCATCAGCTAAAAGAGAGGAGAAAATGACAAAAGATTACCAAAGGCTTCCGAGAGCACTATTCACACAGCAACCTTTATTGTGGGAAAGCATTGCATTTGAGAAAAGCTCCATTGAGTGACTAGCAGTACTCTTTTGATCCCTGAAAAATTAACTGCATTTTCACACCGTTAATGTCTGCACTTGTCTGTGCAGAAGAGAGTTATTATGAGATTTTTGTGTTAAATGTTGATGATTTCTGAGATAACTCAGCAAAATTGCTCTTTTTTCTTTTGTGGAACTCCAGCATGACCAGTTATAAAATACTGGAGTGAAATCAGTGCAACAGAGAGGCCATGTGGTACACAGAGTGTCATAATCTATGAACTGCATCAATCAAATACCTCCAGGGTAACCATGTAAACCAAAGAAGGTATTACTCAGTGTCAGAAGACATTAGGACAAGGAACTGTGGCCTGAACCAAAAAGTGTGAAACTTTGGGTTACGTTTGGAGAAGAAACTGTCCTAACAAGAAGAGCAAATGTGCAAAACGATACTGCCAGGAAAATTACTGTCAGTATTTTCAATGGATTATTCAAGAGCGACTTAAGCAGATCTTACTTGAAATTCCTGACTTTCTAGGAGTACATTACAAATTAATTTAAATTATTATTTTTTTATTTTCCCCTATTGTGTTTAGCAATAATTCTAGAATAATTTTCATATTCTTCACCTGTTGAATAATGTCAGCCACTACCAATACTGTCCCACAATAACTGTTCATCAGAAAACAACACTAGATTTTTTTTACTTTCTTAACCCCAGCAACAAAACCAAACCCGAAACACAAAACCCCCACCCGACCTCCCTTCCTCTTCCCCATTATTTTGTTAAGAATACCAAAACAACAAGAGGAGAACTGATACCTTCTACAATGGCTTGCTTAACAAAAGCTTATGGGTTTTTTTCTTAAGGAATTTCCACCATGGAAATTCACCGTTAGGTTCATTCACTTAAAAATTTGGTGTCCAGCCTCAGCTAGTTAATCAGGTCCCTGATCCAGTCAGCAGAAAGCAACCAGTACATCCAAAGGCCAATTTTTTTCCATCTTAAAATGAATATCTATGACTCATATAAATATTTGGTCTTTGAATTTTCCACTTCTTTTTATTAACTTTAAAAGAGCTTAGACAGCTAGCTAGCTTAGAAAATCGACTTTTGCAAAGCTAAAGTCACACCAAATGCCTCTCACCCTAGAGCTGGTTGAATACTGACTTTAATGGAGAATTCAAGCTACTGTGCGAGATAAAGCAGTATTCGTACTTTAAACATAGACAATGTTTTCATCTCTTATTTGGGAGAATAGGATGCCAGTTAGTGCTTTTTGCAATTTAAATTTGGATAATACCACAGTACCTACTATACATAGCAAAATAAGAAAGACACAAACATCTCCAAACATCACCGTAATAACAGTATTACTGTAATAAGTAATAACCTAAGTTGATACAACATTGAAAGATGGGACAAAAAAACGAATAAAATAAAAACATTAGAATCAATTTGCATTGTGAACAGAATTCACATAGAGAAATATTTCATATATCTTTGGATTGTCTCCTCCTGCCTTTACTTTTAAGACCAGAAAGGGACAATAATATGTCCCTGTTCCAATTTTCCTATTCAACAGTCCCTAAAAATTAGCAACCTTTACAAGACCCTAATATGACATAGATATACTCTTGCAGAAATTGAAGTGAATGGTGACAAGGCTACACTATTAGCTTCCCCATAGGCATTAAGAAACTAACTTCCATTTATATCAGAATTCATTTACATCTTTGATAATTTCATTTTTTACCTTTCTGAAAGAGCATTCTCTCTCTGATCTGATTCCATTTCTCTCTGCTTCTAAATCCCCATGCCAAAAAATGAATTAACAGGCACCTCTAAGCAGTGTTAATTCCATTATGTAAGTTACCAGGTAATAGCTTCTTCATCATACTTTATTATCAAATTGTAATCTTGCCTTTCACTGCCTAATTAAGTTAGTGTACTTTGGTTTCTATTATTAGTCTGCTGGTCATGTTTTCTCTCTCAGGATACTCAGTTCTAATGGTTCCCAGTTCCTTGAGCTTGATGAATCCATGAGAACATATCATATAATAACACCAACTCTATTTCAAGCCTTCGTATTGAATGATTAACTATGCAAAGCAGATATCCTTGACTTTATTTCTGCATGCTATCCCTCATAAAAAAGTGCTAAGGATCACCTGCAGTCTAGTTTAGTAGGCTTAGGCAAGCATGTTAGCAAGTATTCTATACTCATATGCTAAACCAGAGAGAACTTTATCAAACTTTTGAAAATTAACATTATCAAAGTTCAGTTCCTGAGTCTTAAGGAGAATGTTAACAATAGATTGAATGTGTAGGCATTGTATTTACATTAATGCTCTGTGAAATAGTTATTCCAAATACATAAATTGGATGACATTTCTATGGAAAGAGAATACAAATCGAACACTCCTAAATGCCTAGAATCATCTCAAGTTTCACATTAAGGCTTCATATCACAAAGTACAACCAACATTACATTTTAAGGTAACTATTTACTGAACTACTTGATCATTTGTTGGCACTAACCACATCAATATGTCCCACCAGATAGCTTAAGAGAATATCAACTCAAGCAAATACAAATACTGGCATGCTCAAAATATTATGGATTTGTATTTTATGTTTTATCTAGTGGTGTACTCCAGGTGTGAACACTGGGCCCAGTCCTGTTTAACTTCTTCAGTAATGGTCTGGTTGATGAGGCAGAGTACCTTCAGTAAGTTTGCTGATGATACAAAACTGAAAGGAGAGGCTGATACACCAGAGGGTCGTGCTGCCATCCAAAGGGACCTCATCAGGCTGGAGAAATGGCCTCACAAGAACCTCATGACATCCAACAAGGAGAAGTACAAAGCCCTGCACCTGAGGAGGAACGACCCCAGGCACCACGATGTGCTGGGGGACACCCAGCTGGAAAGCAGCTTAGCAGAAAAGGACCTGTAGTTCTGGCAGACACCAAGTTGAACATGAACCAGCGATGTGCCTTTGCAGAAAAAAAGGTATGCTGAGCTGCAGTAGTCAAAGTAATGCCAGCAGGTCGAGGGAGGTGATCCTTCCCCTCTGCTCAGCACTGGTGAGGCCACACCTGGAGTTCTGTGTCCAGTTCTGGGCTCCCCAGTACGAGAGAGACATGGACAGACTGGGGAGAGTCCAGCGAAGACGCACAGAGATGATTAAGAGACTGGAGCATCTCTCCTCTGAGCACAGGCTGAGAGCTGGGACTGTTTAGCCTGGAGAAGAGAAGGCGCAGGGGGATCTCATCAACGTATATACGTATGTGAAGGGAGGGTGCAAAGAGGATGGAGCCAGGCTCTTTCCACGGGTGTCCGGTGACTGGAAGAGAGGCAGTGGACACAAACTGAAACTCAGGAGGCTCTTTCTGAACATTAGGAACCACTTTTTTTACTCTAAGGGCGACTGGGAGTTGGCACAGGTTTCCTAGGGAGGTTGTGGAGTCTCCACCCTGGGACATATTCAAAAGCAGCTGGACAGGGTGCTGGACAACCCTTTCGTGGTGGCCCTGCTTGAGCAGGGGTTTGGACCAGGTGACCTCCACAGGTCCCTTCCAACCTTAACCGTACTGTAATTCTGTGATTTATCACGGTTACATTCAGTGATAACCTTAAGAAATCATATCCTCTTCTCAGTGTGGTCTTTCAATGAAGTGAACATGAATGTTTCTCTTCCTGCTTACAGAAACACTACACCAGTTAAACTCTGCCAACACTGACATTCGAGTCACTTAGAACTGTATTAACCTTATTACAGCCGGAAGCTTTAATACCTCAAAAATCTTCCAGAAAATACCTCACACTACTGCTCAGCCAATGTGCCTTCATCTATGAGAAGGTGCTAATGCAATTTTGACAGATGTAATAGAAGTTCATCATTCTCATCATAAGACACAGACACCCTTCTGTGATATTTTGTGATAACAGTGATATTTCAGGAGATAACTGTCTATCTGTGCTTAAAATGCTCCTATTCCCCTGTAACTGAGGAGTATAAACAAAGGCTTAAAACCAAATAATGGAGAGAAAAATAGACTGTCATGTCCTTAAAAATGAGATTACTGTGAACACTCAGACAGATGATAGCATGCATGCACAGTGACTGACACGTCCTATGTGCACTCTGCACTACTCTGTGGCGAGTAGAGCACACGTGCATTCTTCAGTCTAGGAGAACTTGGATGTATCAGAAACCTAATTAAAATCCTGATTTCCAAATTCCTTGAAGCATGTAAAGATACATTTTCAGAGACCCAAAACCTAATTGTATTCATGATGCCTTTTACATTCACAGAAATCTTTAGATTTTTCTCTTGACATTGGCAGCTTAAAAATGTTACATATTTGCATGTTAAACACTTGTGTTACTCCCTTCATAAATAGGGATAGAAAAGAGCAAAGGCTTAATGTTCATTCAGACTTGTTAATATTAAATAGCTTGGGGGATTTCTGTTCAGTTTTGTATTCTAACTGTGGTCCATTTCTATTTTGACTGGATTTTCTTTCTTTTCTTTGTGTATAAGTAGGGCATTGACCAAAGAAAATATCTAACATTTCCCTTCTTAGTTATGGCTGCTACCGACACACAATCAACACCTACTTTTACGCTGGTTCAAAACAACTGTGGGAAAAAAAATACACTCAAGACTTTTCAATGTTTTTATTTCTATCATCACGTCATCAGGCAGTCAATCATCTTTATTTTATTTTATAAATTGGAAAGTACTTGAATAATTCAACAGCTTTGAAATTTCAGAACTGCCTTCAAATGAACGGTTGTAGTCCCTGATCTCTATTTTAATATTCTGCCAGTTATTGCTACACATAATAGCACAATACAGGGTCCAGGATGAATATCATTCACTCGGTTATTTCCTTGAGTGATTTCAGGGTATGA